GCCAGGCTGTAATCCAACTTGATTGCTGGCCAAAAAAGGTGGTTAATGACTACAGGGCAAATAGCCTGAGTCTGTAGGAAGTGAAATTATCTAAAATTACAGAGAACAGAGTGTTTTAAAATGGATTTAACAAGTATTTGGCTTCGTCTTTAGCAAAAAAATTTTTTTAAGTGAATCTATTGAATGGTGAAAAATGTCAAGTGGATTGTTCTGGAGGCTGAAATCCTCTATTTATATAGCAGGTATGCCATAGGCTGCAGTGGTGATAGTTTGCCCACAGTACCCCATCAGCATGCCTGAGTCCTGATCTGGTGGGGCCACCTGCAGGGCTGATTTAGGAGCCTAAGTCCCATTGGCTTTCAGACAGATAGAGGCTCTTAAATAACTTTTGAAAATGGGAATTAGGCTCCAGTCATTTTGGCGCTTTTGACAATTCTACTCGTGGTTTATATTTAAAGTTGCTCTAGTTTAACTAAAGATGTGATTTTTAAATTGGTGTACTTACGCCAGTGAAAAAACCCTCTCATGAACACTCTTAATTTGATTAATCCTGGCTGATATCAGATTAGCTCAATTCAAAAAGAAATCAAGTTAAGATACATCAAGGTAAGCCAGAAAGAAACTGAACTGAGTGTTTTAAAGTTTCACTGGTTTAACTTTAGTTAAATCAGTTTTTGAGTTTTGGGTAGCACTACACTGCAGCTGGAGGTGTAATTTCCCGCGTGGGTAGAGGTACACATGCTAGCGTTGATTGAACTAGCATGCTAATAATAGCAGTGGAGCAGTCCAGGAGGTAGCATGAGCTAGCTGCCTGGGTATGTGCCTAGGGTCTTGGACAGGATTGTACTTGGTTGGCTAGGCCATCCTGCTGTCCGCTCCACTGCAGCCACACCACTATTTTTAGTGCACTAGCTGTATCAGAGCTAGTGCACGTACATCTAGCTGAGCTGGGAATTATACCTCCAGCTGCAGTGTAGACACACTCATTGACAAGGCCTATATCTTCATGCGCGTTCAGGGTTTGTGTTCTAGCAAAGACTACCTAGAGGGACAGGGACACAACCAGGGCAGGGCGAGCGGGGCAGCCACCCAGGGTGCAAAGTCACAGAGGCGGAAAAATGGGATAGTGTGGCGGGAACATATGGGTCACGTCTCCCCCTCCCCCAGATGTCTGCCTTCCATTTATCACATAGGTTTTCAAACTGGGGTGTGTGCCCAGAAGCTGGTGGATTGGAAAGCAATGCAAGCAGCCAGGGCCCCTGGCTCTTTGTGCTGTGGGAGCCTGCTGGCTGCCCAGGAGCTCCCCCTGCCCTGCTCCCCAAACTGGACACTCCCCAGGCAGGCCAGGTGGCAATCTTGCCTCTCCCCCAAAGAAGCCCAGGACCAGCTGGCAATGCCCCCTGGAGCTAGCCCCGGCCTGTGGAGCCCAGCTGCCATGAGATGCTCCCCAAGGCACTTGCTTGCTGCTGCCCTGGTGCTACTGGTTCTGCTGCAGGAATTGGGAAAACCTCCTTTCACAGTTTGAAAACCTCTGTGCTGCTAAAGGAAGAAATCTGGGGGGCACGTGACCCTGGGTATCCCCTCCCCCCCACATTGCCTCTAGGGGGCACAAATTATGCTTGCTCCTTAAAATTTGTCTTTAATCTTAACGGAAGTACCAAATGTCTAAGATAGGACTGTGTCTAACAAACATAAAAGGGCTTTTCTCAGCTTGACCTCCTGTCTCTTCCTCAGCAGACTTCACTCCTCTCTCAGCCCTTAATATCCCTGACCTGGAGTGACAGCAACCCACTGGGTTTGCCTGCCAGCAGCATAGGCCTGCACCTTCCAATAGCACCTGACACCTGCTTATTATGGGTTTTTTGATGCTGACATTTGTGGACTGATTTTCAGAGGCACTGAGCCATCCATAATTCCTATTCCTTTCAGTAGGAATTGTGGGAGTTTAGCACCTCTGAAAATTAGGCTGCTGTCATCTGCAATGAGACCACTTGGTCATTTTGCATAGATCATCCAGCAGTTCATGTGATCGAATAGTATGAAACTTTACTGATCTGGATCAAATCCAAGTTGATGACCTAGAGATGAGTAACTCCGCATCTCATTACCAGTCTTCTGAACCTTCTAGGGTCCTAAATCATTAGCAAATCTGATACTTTTAGGGTTGAATTATATTTTCGTTGGTGCCACATCTGGTCCTAGAGAAGTAAAACAAGTGGCGTTCTGCTTTATAATCTTCTCCATCAAATAATAGTCTAACATATGTTGTTTTACAGTAAGTAACAGTAAGCATAGCTTTAACTTTTCAGTGTTTGGTTAGATAGTCATGGATAATTTAAATCAGCACAGCTTGTATGGTTGTAATTTGTACCTCATTATTTGAAGGAAACAGAATACCTCTGAAAAATATTAAAGTAAGTGATAATCCCTCCTGTTATGAAGAAGCGGGTAATTGAAGCTCCATGTTTCTGTTAGCTGTTGGAACTGTTCCAGTATTCCCACTTCGGGCTGATGCTGGGTCACAGAGTGTTTGTAAGAAAAGACAAAAATTGATAGCTCTAAAGAAAATTAGTCTGTCTTGCAATTGAACTTTTTGATGGGCCCAGCTGGCTAGAAGCGTGCCTGCTCCATGAGATGCCATGCTGTTAGGTTGAGTGTGAACAACCAAGTATGAAAACACAGGCTAGTGTATGTATAGCTTTTCTCCTGAGATGTTCTGAATTTTCCTTAAAAGCTTAGCCCAGTGTTTGGGCTTGTGCCATAATACAGTGAGTACCCTATGAGCTCACATATAGATGACAGCTGATTTACACAGGTGTGAGATCAAAATCAGGCCTCTAATATCTTGCAAAAAATAGTCTTTAAGATGTCTGGATGATACATTTGGTAAATCAGGTTTGATAGAATTCTCTAAGTTACTACTTTAAATAGGACAGTCTATCTTATGAATTTCAATTGCGGCTATGTTGCAGACAGTAGGTCAGAGTAAAGGCCCACCAAGTTATGGTAAGCTCTTCAAACCATATACATAAAATATCTCTAAATTAGTCTAAAAAGAAATTCTTTTTTTTGTTTGCATCTTGGATATAATTGACAGTTGCACCCACAATTTTGACTTGAATTTTTTTGTGCTGCCAGGAACTTTTCTAACCCATGCTCAAACCTAGGGCTCTGGCTTCCACACTACAGTGTGAAGACCTGAGTCAAAGTAACAATATTCCAGAGTCTGTAGCACCGCCCCCGCCATCCCCACTGAAAAGTGGCCACTCTAGCCCTAGCAAAACTTTACTTCCCACCCTGAATGTTACAGGAAGTTTGAACAGCCCATCAACGCAGCCTGCCGAGCAGTCATTTTGGTCTGTGCACTCCCACTGATCAGAGACCAACAAGGAGGAGGTGCCTTTTGACGAACTACTCTTGCTTGAACTTTCACTCCTATGGGAAGAAACTGGCAGAGCATCCACAAGGCACTGGTGAACATTGTGGTGGTGCTTTCTGTCCCACCAAAGGATTTCCTGATGGATTTCCTGATGGCGCTTCAGGAGGAGGAAGAGGAGGCAGGAGTACCCTGGCATCGCAGACTCTCACAGGTTGATGCTGCTGAGCAGAATTGGCATAGCCACTGATGCTCCCTATGTAGACTGCCTCTTCTGGCGCAGGGTCCCAAGCACAGGCTGGTGAGACCACACCCTCATGCAGACCTAGGATGACCAGCAGTGGGTCCAGAACTTTCTCATGAAGAAGGCCCATTTCTGGAACTTTGTGAGCAGCTTGTCCCCACCCTCCAGTGTAAAGAGACACATCTGAGGTCACTCTTCCCAGTCCAGAAGCAGGTTGCTCTAACTCTCTAGAAGCTGGCTACCCCAGATGGGTACAGGTCTGTTGCCAAACAGTTTGGTGTAGGAAAGTTGACTGTAGGTAAAGTGGTGGCAGAGGTTTCTGAGGCAATCAGGTGTATGGTTTACCCCAAGGTGGTGGACATTAAAAATATTCTAGAGGTAATTGCTGGCTTTGAGAGAATGGGGTTTCCTAACTGTGGCAGGTCTATTGATGGGACTCATGTGCACAGTTTGCCCTCCTCAAGGAGCACATGAGTACATAAACCACAAAGAGTACCACTCTATTGCCATGCAGGCACTAGTGGACCACAGGGTCAGATTTATGAATGTCAAGTGGGCCCTAAAGGAAGAGTTCATGGTGCGAGTTTTTTGCCGCTCAGGAATCTACATTCATGGACAGGCTGGGACACTATTCCCACCAAATGACATGGACATAAATAGTGTTACTGTCCCCTCTGATCTGGGGGAGCCCATATACCCCCATTTGCCTTGACTTATGCTACTGTACCCTGATTTGAGGCCCTGCAAAAAAAAAAGTTGTAACTACACTCTCAGCAGGTGTAGAACGGTTGTTGCATGTGCTTCTGGCAGACTGAAATCACATAGGAGGTGTCTACAAACCCATTTGGATGCTAATGTCATCTATACTGTCCGCATTACTGTGCTCTTCACAACCTTTGTGAAGCCAGAGGTGAGCCATTTCCCCCTGAACAGACCTATGACAGCAAGGGGTCACTGGATCGGTACCTCAGCCAGAAAGTGCAGCTACCACTGTGGGAACTGGTTGCACTGGGCAGAAGAAGTCGGGGTGCTTTGTGTTCTCACATTGTGGTCTTGCATGGCCCAATGTAAGAGGGAGACTAGTACTTGTGGGGGGAAACTGGCTCATTTATTTTTGTGGGGGGCAGAGCTTGGAGGGCAGGGGTGGGCTTGATTGCCATGCAATGCAAATCTGAATGACATGATGAATAATAAATTTGGTGGGAAAGGGGGCACAATGGCTGCACAAATGGAATTTGCTGAAATGTGAATTGCTGTATCTAGCTACGTAGAGGAATACCTTTTTTGCTTACTGATGTGTAATTGCTCTTGAACACAATTTAGCTGTATTATCTCAGATCATGAGAGTATGATGTGATGCAGTGATAGCAATAAACTTTCTTGAAAACATAACATGCTTTATTTATAAACATGTCTTAAAACAGTAAATCACTCGCAGTCTTGGGCAGACCAACTTCAATTACACACTACACACCCAAAAAGAAACAGCAGGAAATAGTTAATACCCAACAAAATCCCTCAACTCCTTATGTGTCCCCTGGCCCCACATTCTCCTTTACACATTTTCCCCTCACTTCATAGGTGCTGGAACTAGAGGTGCTGCTGCACCCCCGGCTTGAAGTGGTTTCTGTTATATACAAGGTTTATGGTTTGGTTTAATGGCTCTCAGTACCCACACTATACAAATTGTTCCAGCACCCCGCCTCACTTTGCTGCGGGTGAGAAGGTTGGAGGTTTCCACTGGAGAGGGGTGGAAGAAGGCTGCACAGTGTTTAGTAGCCCTGCCCAGCTGCTAATGAGTCCTGAATGCATGGTCCGCCCTGACATGGAGTTGTCCAAGCTACTGCTGGGCTGAAGGTATGCTGTAGGGTGATCGTGCCCTGGTGTGGGAGAGGCAGCAGGAGAGGACTCTTGCAGTCATTATAGACAGGAGGAGTTAAAGCAGTTGTCTCTGAGCTCTGTCCTACTCCCTTAGCTGCCATTCCTGTTGCAGGAACTGCTTTGCAAGTGCCAGTTCCCTTGCTGAAACGTCCTTCACCTGGCCAGCGAGCCTCAGCCTGTCCTCCTGCCTGTCAGCTTGCCGTTGTGCCACTCTTTTTCTGGTTCTGGACCTGCTGGTCTGTCCTCTCAAGAGCATGGACATAACTTCACCATGGAAACACTTCTTTTTGGAATGGTCTGTGATGGTATGTTGGGCCTGGGATCAAGTTCCTGAAGAACAGCAGGCAGAATAGGTTGAGTGTCCTGAAATACGATAAGAAACAGAAGGTTATTGTTTAAAGTAGCTCAGTGGAGCAGCACAGAATTAATATTGTGGAGTCTCAAGGACATACATCTAACTGTCTAAACTGAACTGAAGGGGATGCTCCTGTCCTCACACCGTCTCTGGTTACAGCCTTGTTAATCACAGTTACAGAAGTACAGAGACAATGGTAAGTCTAAAATTATAACCTCTATTCTGTTTTATAAAAAAAATCATAACTAACTGCCCTAAGCGTGAAGGTGTATAGTGCCCTTGTGGCAAAAGGCTTTTTCTGTCATTTCAGGCCTTTCATATTTTGGGAGATGTAACAGTTCTTGTGGTGCCCTCTTGGCAGAGGCAGATGTTATTGCAAGCTGCAGAAGGGAAACCTGCAGTGTCTGCAGCTGAATTATTCAAACAAATAGTGACTGAACAGCACATTTGTGAGTGGAGTGAACTAGTCATCTCTACAGCCTAGAAAAATATGCCCTTCTCCACAGTGTGACTAGTGTGACAAAGTTCCTCCTCTATCTTGGTGGGTCCTGCGCTTATTGGCGGATTTTCTTGCCTCAGAGATTCACCATGTGGGTTGGGGAACAGCCCAGAGACCTTCCCCTCTGGGAGAACCCACAGTCCAGGTCAATTGGGAGGTTTGGGGGGAACCCGGGCCCGCCTTCTACTCCGGGTTCCAGCCCAGGGCCCTGTGAACTGCAGCTGTCTATAGTGCCTCCTGTAACAGCTGCATGACAGCTACAACTCCCTGGGCTACTTCCCCATGGCCTCCTCCAAACACTTTCCTTATTCTCACCACAGGACCTTCCTCCTGGTGTCTGATAACCCTTGTGCTCCTCAGTCCTCCCGCAGCTCACCCTCACCCTCTCAGCTCCTTGCACCTCTTGCTCCCAGCTCCTCACACTCACACCACAAACTGAAGTGAGCTCCTTTTTAAAACCCAGGTGCCCTGATTGGCCTGCCTTAATTGATTCTAGCAGCTTA